TTAAAAGCCCGGCCTCCATCAGTCCCCGCGGGCTCTCCTCACCACTTCCATCCAAACTGACAGCAAGAATTTTTCTGTGTGAAATGTAATAGATCTGCCAATTTATGTTACAGCCCAGATTTCAGTAGGGGGGGTAGCATTTTCGCATCTTTTCTCCTGTTATAGTGATTTGTCTTAATGTTCTTCTCATTTAAGTAAGGTAGATTAGGTTACTCACATTTAATTTCCTTCCGTTTATTGTTTTGCTGTTTGCCCACCCTAAAGCCAAACCATTTAAATTAACCTTTGAAAGGGCTGCAAAACCCTTGTTGCTGGTGAATCTTGGGAACAGGGAAGCTGTTATTTCATGTTGTGCATATCCCCCAGGCCGGGTTGTATCGCCAAGTAGAGACTTCAAAGGCCAATCCTATGTTTTCGAAATATATTTGATATGTGTTCAGCTTGCTGCTTAACTCTGCGTGTGTAGTAAAGGCAGAAGAGTGAGCGCACTTGAAACATTGATAATGGATGTCAGTACATCTGCCTTTTGAAGACCGACACAAGTTGTTGATAGAAAACCCAAGACAACGAGCTTAAAGACATTCAAATTAGGAAACTACATTATTAGTGACCCATTTCACATAGTCATTTCATCCATTGCTCTTTAAAAATAATGGATTATAGCCCCTTTTTAACATGGTGTGTACAGTGTTACAATGGGAATGATGGCTTCTAAGAACCAAGTTGTAATAAACCAGAGTTGTCCTTTAACATTGAAGGAACATTCAAATTCAATCACAAACAAAATTTGCAAATCCTCTAAACTGACTGCCATTCAGCCCACTGGGTCCCATTTTTCTGACATGGAGCAGCAAGAGGAGCTCTGCCATTAGAGAGTGAAGAAGAGAAGCATGTTGCGCTGAATGGAGTGTGGGCCTGTCGATCATCGCTAACAGCTGCATTTGGCATTTCAGTCAGGTACAAAAGGTGTGTTTTGTGCCAAAGTACCTCAAGTCAGACAGGCATCCAGACAGTGTGCTTGAATAACAATATTTCATCAGAGTAAAGTGGGAATAACAGGGAAGAGGAGGGGTAAACATAGTTCAGGCAAGTACGGCATCTGTGTTGTTGAGACTTTAACAGGAAGGTAACACGCCAACACGCATCTTCAAGGTTCTCCTCTACCATCTGTTCTCCAGCGGAAGTGACTCCTGCCTTTTTCTCAAACACATAAAGACACACACACTGAGTCTCAACACTCAACATGCCCTTCCAGATTCATTAGCATATAAATAACTCATACGAACACAAAAATACACACCAAGGCAACGGTGCCATCACACATATGCCTCCTCCAGCAGTGTTAAAAGGTGAATGTAGAATATTAGTGGGTATAAGCAGACTCTGATGGTGTCCATTAGTCTGCGTGTGTGTTTGTGTTGTTCCAAGCCTGATGAAAAGGCTTTTAGGCTAATTACATGAGGAGAGTGTTGCCATCTAGATTAATTTGAATATTGTGCTTACATCTTACTCTCCCTCTTCCTCGTACACTGATCTCGTGTATTGACTACCTCTGCTATTTGATTTTAAACTTGGGGGTCATTTTAATAGATTAACTTGTTATGTATGTCTTGTGTGTGTGAGTTTGTTCTGACACGTCTTCCACAACAATATGATTAAGTCAATATAGAGCATAATGTTCTAAGCGTGACTGACACAGCCTCCTCTTGGTTAGTTGCTGATACCTTGCTTGCTGACCGTGCTTTTCATTCAACATCCCTCACTTCCTCTTTGTCTTAACTGAGGGTTAAAAATAAGGATTATTTTATGGAGAGGCAGCCTCTTGTTTTTGCCGTTTTCAAATCTGATCTAACAGCGCCCTCTGTCCAGAGAAAGTCAGAACTGCATCAGAACAGAGATCACAACACAATTAAAATATTTGTATATACTGTATATATATAGGACACCACAAAAAAATGAACATATTATTATTTTCCAGAAATCTATAAACATAAAAGACCTCATCTCCTCAACCTAATTTCTAGAGCACCTTGAGAAGGGGATGTTTAGCAAACAATAAGTAGACCTACTTTAATTTATGTGACTGACCTGTTGCTAATTCAAAATGTTTATTTAAAGACATAATTTCATATTTTGCGTATTTGATGCTCATTTGGTCACATTTAAAATGGGGAAATGGTTCTGTAAATTATTCCAAAACTCAATATTTGTTTTGCTTCAGGTTTGATGGTTATGGATTTGTTTTGCATAGCAAGGAAACATGCTTTCCTCATATCCATTCTAAGCACATTTTGCTGCTGAAATAATTCAGCCCTTTCCAAAATATTTTGCTCTATGTGCGCTCAGAAAACACTCTGCATTCTTGGTGCTCTGGCCGGGTGCCTGCAGAAGTTTTCCTTTACAAAATCCAAATAAAGTTTTTTAATTCAGCTCATATGAAGGCTGACAGAAGTTGTTAATTTAACTCTCTGGGATAAGAGTATGTCTTGCTTTGCACACAGGAAATACCTATGCTGCTTTGTTTCATGTCACAGTAAGTAAAGGTGAAAACAATAAAATTGTTGATGGCTTAATTTCCTTCAGCTGTCAAATAATGGTTATAAAGTATGAAAACTAATCTGGGGCATTATTTTCCATTTGTTTGACAAAAGTTGCAATTCTCTGAGGTTGTTCATTCATAAACCTTTTAAATCGCCTCAAAGTAAAATCTGATTTCAGATATAGCTTTTGCAGAAATGTACCCTCTGATTGAATGATGTCCTCTTTAATTACAGGGTTAGATGACATGATCTATAAAATCAAAAAATCAATGAATATACCAATAGTTTTAGAACCTCAAAACTTTATCTTACATTTACTTTATTATTTATATTGTTATAGCACAGTATCCAATCATGAAAAGAAAAACAGACGTGATCAATTCATTGTATATTACTAAAATAATAATAAAAACACATTTATTCAAATGTTATACCAAACCCATATTCATTTCAAAAGATGAATAATTGATATTCAGACATTGTGTTCTCTCTTAACGTGATGACTTCGGCTTTCCTGGCTTTAGCAAATGCTGAGTATCATTCTTGATGTAATTTATTCCTTCATATCTCTTCATACAAATAAAGTATTTAATAGAAAATGCAAATGTTAAGATGATATTTTGGAGGAGAAAAATGTCTAATGGGCTGAAGTTTAGTGTACATATGAGATGATGCCATGCCAAATCCAAGATTAAGTTAAATTGCAACAACAACAAGAACTGAAAACACAGATATCAGATTACAGATTTCCTTTAATGTTATAAGAATCAAAATGCAGATTAGTTTCCCAGCATCAAATGTATCGAAAAGGATTATTTCTGTTGAACCTCATAACTTTCCACCTCCATGTCTTCTTCTTCCTCCAGCTGGCAGTCTTCTGATAGGTCCTCTCATTTTGGCTCCAGGTCTCCATCTTGGTAACAGCAGACAGTTGGTGGGCAGAAACGAGTCTGCTGGAGTACTCAAGGTCTGCAGACCCAACTGGCGTTTGTGTTAGGCAGATTATTCTTGTAGTGAAGCTGGCCCTGAAGGAAGCCTGGATCCGGCGGCTGATTAGTTTTTCTGGCAGGGAGGCTGTCAGGCAGAGGGTCCCCTGTTGCTTTGGCTCAGCGAGTTTCCCAGGGACACAGACTGGTTTGTGCAGGCATGGATGCTTTGGCTCGTCTGGCAGTTTGACAGGGAAGAAGTGAAAGTTTAGAAATTGTGATAAAAAAAAGAGACTGGTTAAGACGAGAAACCAATTTTCAGTACACTGACCTTGTAACTGTTCTATTCTTCTTCAAATCTTTATTTAACTAACAATCAATGAGTAGTGCCCTCTTTATCTGCAATGCCGTGGTTACACTCAGGTACACACATTCACACTTGAATCTGCATACGAACAACCCTAGTGCGATCTACTGGCCTGTATTGGAGCACCTCTGGATTACTTGAACTCTATGTTATATTGCATTGATTTTTTTTCTCAAACATCCTGCAACATTACAGTACACACACAGATTTGTTGTAGTCTGCAGTGGCAAAGTACACAAACACGGACAGATAACAAAAAGGAAAACTGAAAGTAAACACAACAGCACACCGTCACCTCACATACAGTACTTCAGGCATTCTATGACATAACACTTTATCTAAGGTTGGGTCAGATTTCTTTAACAAATAAAGTAAGTTATTGAATTAAAATGTGTCTCCAAGATGGCAAAAAATGTGGCAAATCAAACAACTAATGAAAAACATATTCGGAGTCTGATTCACCTTTCTTTTAAAAAGCACACATTTCGTCAGTGTTCATTGAAAATTATGATGTAAAATCTAAATATTTTACTTGAACTTTGACCTTTTACTGATAGCGTAAGTAGAGATACTGATAATATTGTGTATTTGCCAAAGTTATAAATGGTTCTGTTGTATATGTAAAAGTAGCTGTGTGTCATGTGTATATGCTTGTTTACACAACTTTATTATGTTGTTGGTTTTGCACTCATTTTCTGCCATTAATATTTAACGTAGATTAACCCCACCTTTTCTGGCTGTTGCATTAAAATGAAGTAGCTACACAATCTCATTAATGATTCACTATGTTAACAGCCAGATAGTAGGTAGGCTATACACATTATTCATAATGGGATATGCTGAATAATAGAGAACTGTTCCTTTGTGGTTTAATTTATTTAGTTTGTTTCTCTATCTAAGTATGATTGTGAATGCAGAACTTGTAAAATGTATTTTTACATTATGGTATGGCTAGGCTATATCTTAATTCTTCTTCCACCACTGAACATTATATCTCCTATCACCAGTTGCTGCTGGCCCTTGCTGAGGTGGTGTCAGCAGTTGCTTCAGAGTGTCTCTCCCTCCCGGTTGTGTCCTCGGCCGCCCCCTGACGGTGGTTCCCGGCAGAGCCCCGGCCCCCCTCACCAGACCGTCCCACCGAGGAGCTGCTCTGCTCGGCTGCTCAAGTTCACAAACCACTGGCTGTGAGAGAGTGTGCAAAGGCTTTCCCCGTGTGTGTATCTTCCTACTATTGTTTTGCTTCGGATAAACGGACCAACTTCTCATCAGCTTTCAATCTTTTTGAGACCGGGACTTACTCAAACATTTAAAGTTTTTGGAAGATTTTGCCGGCTTTGTTTCCTACCCGGATAGATTTTTGTTTATGGCGCGGTGTTGCCAAGATGGACACTGCTTGTCTGCAGGTTGGAGACTAGATAACGGCTTCGCCCTTTAAAATTAAATGTAGGCTAGACTTTATTTAATTATCCGCTGTAAACGTATTATTTATCAACTGGATGTAGCCAGATTGGGTCATTTCCTCCCCAGGGGTCACATCCTATAATGAACATTTTCCCACTGAAGTTTCGGTGAACTTTTCCCACGACTCGCCATGTCGGGAGTTGTCCGGACCCTGAGCCGCTGCCTGCTCCCGGCCGAGGCCAGCCGGGACCCGGGCAGCAGCAAGGAGGGGAGCCGGGAGAAGGACGCGGCGCAGGAGCGGGAGGCGAGGCGCAGGAGCCGGGAGATAGACGCGATGCTGGCCCGGGAGAGGAGAGCCGTCCGCCGGCTGGTGAAGATCCTCCTGCTCGGGGCCGGAGAGAGCGGAAAGTCCACATTCCTCAAACAGATGCGCATCATTAACGGGCAAGAGTTTGATAAAAAATCACTTCTGGATTTCCGGGACACTATCTATGAGAATATACTGAAGGTAAGATCAAGGTTTCATGGGAAATAAATAGCTTGGGGCCTTCAGGGAAACTTTACAGCCCAAGTCCAAAGTTTAAACACACACATGTGTAATCTGTGTTGTCAACTCCTGCTTTTGTCTTTTTGATTTTAAGTTTATATCGTGTTTGTTTTCTGCTCTCTTAAGTTAAAGTAAAGGATGTATGAGGAACTGACATGTTGGAGACCAGAACAGAAAGTGTATTAGATTAGGCTATTCAATTAGTCTTTGGAGGTATATTGACTGGAACTCAAGTGTTAGTCAATTCATTGATCATTTTATTATTTAGGTAGTTTGTCAAGGAAACATTGCCAAGATTCTCCAAACCAAATTTGAGAATAGTCAGCAGTTTAATCAGTATTGGAAATAATCATTATTTGCAGTCCTGATATTGACGTTTTCACCCAAACGTTGAGGCTCACACACATACTCAAACATACAGAGGTTTGTTGACATATACATATTTTTATCCTGAAGTGTGTGTGTGTGTGTGTGTGTGCATGCTCTCCCGTTTGTTTGCTGTCATGGCTGGGACTCCTTGACCAGCTAACAATACCAGACTATTCCTGAGGGATGAGCACATCCGCCCTGATTGCCACACAGCCCAGACAGGGATGATAAGAGCCTTCTACACAGCAGAGGCAGTACTCCATACCCTCCCCTGAATACCAGCATACAGTGGCGGTTCTGTCTCGGGACAAATCATGAACAGCACTCCCCCCCCAACCCTCCTCCAAACAAAAACAAAATTCACCAACACTCAACTTCCTGAAAAACACAATGCATGATGACGAGCAGGCAAATATTGTAAGAAATCACATGATTGGAAATGCTGTAGTTTTGACAAAGGCATGATCTCAAATGCAACACGATACTACATGCCTGGTACTTTTGACCCACCAAGACACTGTTTATTGGTCCTCCCATCTTTTACAAATGACACAATATTAGAAGCTTGCCAGTAACATTTATTTTCATTAACAATTATTCTATTAACTTCCGAGTTCATCTTGTATTACTTTCAGTTAATTATGACTATGATGGGATGTTGCAAAAAGACTTTAGGACAGGTCTCAAGGAGGAGATACAGGAATTAGTTGTAGTAAATCGCACTGAGAATAGACAGTAGATTTGATTGGATGTAAAAATGGCTAAGACATACTGTATTAATCATTGGTGCATCATTCCTATGCTATGACACCATATATTGGACATGTTTCCATTGGTAAATCTGAGCATTGTTTATTAGGTGGGATGTTACCTGTCCTGAACAATAGTGTCAGGATCAGCCTCACCTACAGGGTGTAGAGGACCTCTCTCTTCATGGGAACCTAATGATAGTGATAGAGAACAAAGCAGACGGTTAAGGAGGGACAAAGCTGAAAGAAAAATACACAGGTGTGTTGCACAATTAGATACAAATTAATAAATAACATAGCGGCTGAGTTCATGTGGGGTCCCGCCCCTTCCTTCTTGTTAATTATACCTCCAATAATGGTTAAGTCTCTCATCTAATCCTTCAATACTCAAACTGGATATTCTCACTCAAGTTAAAGTGAAACTAAAAACTGTTGCTAGGGTACCTCTGTCAAGCCTGGTACATCAAGTGTAGGTTTGATGAACAGCCTGGATATCTAATGATTTACAAGCTGTACGTTTTGGTAGAACATAACATAAACACTCAAAATAGACAATTGTTGGTGTTATTAATTAATCAATTTCTAAATAAGACACACAATGGTTTGACATTTTTCCATAAAACAGGTTTTATCCTTTTTTTCTATTTCTGTGATTGTCCTTGTTTCCCTATCATTACTTCTAAACCAAGTGTTTTTCTTGTTTCAAGGTTGGTCAATTATCATCAGTGTCACATGAGGGAAATGCTTTATTAACTTAGATCATTGAAGCCCGATATTCAGCATATTTGGCATCTTCAAAAACTTCGGGGTCACAATTAGAATGTTAAATGTTTTTTTATGAATTGTAAAGCTAAATAACTTCTAATGCTTTCTTGTTACAAGGCAGGGGAAAGGGCCGCTGATTACCGGAACAGAGTTATTTTTAGACCCATCTAGCTGCCGGCCAATAGTACCATGTCATGTCTTCAGTTCAGACATCATATTTTTATGTTTCTTTTGCCCCATGTGGGAGATACTGTTGAGGGCCAGTTACACACAAATACCAAGAGCTGGTCTGTTGTCTGTCTAGCTATCTTATTCATCTGGGCACAACTGTTTCTGTCGCTTTTCATGTGAATAATAACGTGCACTCTACAAATGTCTGCCCACTCCATTGAGGCCTGCTGTCACATTTGATCTGTAACACTTTGTGTTCAGAGTTCACTTTGTACCAATGGGTTCTTTGTAGCAGATAGAGGCAGACAGAGGTTTCATCCTTCAAAGGACTGTGGGTGTGTCCTTTTAGAGATAACCTACAGCCTCACAAACTAATGGGGCATTAGCATGGTCCTTATCAGCTTGTTAAAATGTCAAACTTTTTCATGTATATCACCAGTAAGTCCTCATCACTGACGTAGTTTTGGTATGAAAGGTTATCTAGGTTCAAGGTAAATCATCCTTGAGTTTACAATAGAAGTTTTGTTATTGAATTGGCAATGTGATACTTTTCCGACTAAATGGACTAGGATCACCGAAACGTCCCAATTAAAAGAATGACCAGCTCACATTTCTGCATTGAAAGGTGCTTACTTTATTCACTTCCAAATGTTATCAAAATAAGGCTGTCTCTTCTTGCAAACAATTTGGAGGCTTCTTCAAAATGGGACGGACAACTTGTTATGTTTTTCTTGAGATTTTCTTTCTTTTTGAGGGTGGAGGGAAAAGAATGCGATAAAGGTCCCAACACTGGAATTTAATCCCCTATTTTACTTGTTATATTTGTGATCCATTTGGCAGTGTTGGAAGAAGTATTCTGATATTTTACTTGGGTAAAATTAGCAATACTAAAGTTCAGGATCAGGAAATGTTTGGTCTATAAAATGTCCCAAAAATGTCCATCCCAGTTTCTCGAAGAGGTCAAGGTCATCTCTTTAAATGTGTTGTTTTGCCAGGAGTGCAGTAAAAAGAACAAAAGTTGCTTCCAAAATGTAGTAAAGAAAAAAGCATAACATGGAAATACACATAAAATGGAAAATACAACCAACCCAAAATGTCTATAAAGTTCAGTCAACTAGATGCAATTGGTTACTTTCCATCACTGGTATTTGACATGCAGACGTGCTGAATGTGGACACAGTTACTGGATAACTAGAGACCACGATGTGTATGGACAGGTTGGCTTAGCAGCAGGAACACAGACAAAAATGCCGGTATACAGGAAAGGACACAACAACTCTTTAGAGGATTTATGCAACATAAACCCAGATTAGTAATTTGATAAATCTCAGGTTGGCTCCCAGACAGATACAGGATGTGACTCAAAACCCACTCACAGTGACTCCGTTAGTGACTTTACTGCAGAACATGCTGCTGTTCGATCCGTATGTCGTGTCAGATTACATGTGTGTCTTTATGTTGAAGACTAGTCAGTGTGTCAGTCTTACTCACTCCTGTAATAACAAAAACCCCAATTCTTAAAAGAGAAGTTTGAAATGAGGAACAGAGTTGAAAATGCACTAGTCAGTCACAAAGGAGCATCCCAGTCAGACTGCACCCACACACAGTAGCTGCATGAGTGATTACATCTATAAAGTGTCACATCTTCCTTTTATTTTTTCTTACACGTTTAGGGGGAAATCTCCCTTTGAACTTTGTATAAACAAGGTTGGAGCTAATTTTCCAGCTGTGTTCATGTTGTGGGCCTGTTAAGCCTCATGAATGCAATATTAAGCTGTTCAAACAAACTTGACTAGACTTGCACAAAGGGTAGGCAGTCATGAGTCATCCACACACACACACACACACACACACACACACACACACACACACACACACACACACACACACACACACACACACACACACACACACACACACACACACAAATCCCTTAACCTACTGTGACCTTTGAAACGCTTCATACCTCACTGATAATGTTCTGTTGTTTCAATCAATAAATGAAGCAATCATGCTTCAATAACAAGGCAGATTCTGGACTTTGAGATGCTCAGAAAAATGCTTCACATGGAGTCAATTGTTAAGTCTTAGAAATGTAAGAAGGTAAAAGATAAGGAACACAATGGATGAAATAAAAAGAGAAGATGTAGTGAGTAAGAAAATACAAATTGTACCACAAGATAAAAGTCTGCTGTCAGATCAATACATGCTGAGTTGGAACATTTCAAAGTAATGGATTCAAAGAGAGTCTAATAAAACTATAAAGAGAGAAATGGAGACACAGATACAAAAAACTGAATATCTGTCTCTGTGTGATGGTTAGACCTCCCACACAGATCACTCCACATGGCTCTATTCAGAAAACCACCAGCAGCCACACACGCATATGTTTGAGAGTGTGTGTGTGTGTGTTTGACATTTGTGCTGCCCTGTTAAAGTTACTCCATGTTTACCAGAAACACTAGACTCTGTGTTGACATGTTTCCCCTGGAAGCAGCTCATGCAGTATGGTTTTTATTTCCTCTGTGTGGTCAGGAAATATTTGTACAATATTGCTGACATTAGAAAAAAGCAGCTGTTACTCCACTTGACCGCATTCAGGCTCATGTTCACGCTGTGTTTCTGCAGGGCATGCGCGTGCTGGTAGACGCCCGGGACAAGCTGGGCATCGGCTGGCAGAGCTGCGAGAACGAGAAGCAGGGCATGCTGGTGATGTCGTGGGAGGGACGAGTGGGCGGCTCGGGGGTCGAGTCAAGTGAGTTTCAGCTTTACGTGATGGCACTGAACGCACTCTGGACGGACACCGGCATACAGGAGGCCTACGCACGGCGCTCTGAGTTCCAACTGGTGAGTAGATGAATCCTGTAACAAACCGTCTCCTCTTTCATTTCCTCTGATGTAGCTTCAAGGTTGTTTATATAGTTTGTATCAAGTCTTTGTTGATGTTTACACTAAGTGGAATTTAAACCAAAGGCTGGTACTGCTGCAACATTTCATCGAATGGAAACATTTTCGATGCGCTTAGACTTTACACATTTCAAATGTCAGAATCCTACAGTAGATTTTATAATAAAGTTTTGGCAGCACTCAATAAGCTGCTTGTTAAGGATGAATACCTCTGGCACTTTAAAGATATACTTCCCTCGAAACTGATATTTTATTTATGATTCAGTCACATATCCAGGAATGATAAATGACAAATCTTGTATTGACACTCCATTACAAAGGTTGAAGCATTTGCTGATACCTTGAGGTATGTGCTAACAATACAAATGTAACCAAAAATAAACTATCCTTCAACATTATGAAGTCCTTAAAGTACTCATGCAGCAGTCTAAAGGATTCAATCACTCTTCATAGCATGCCAAAAATGCATGTTTTTATTTATTTAAAAGCTCCCATGACTGTCTCCTGTTCATACACTGAGTTGGAGCAATGATCAGTCATCGGTTACTCACTGGCTGATCTGATGCTTCACATTGAATCTTCCTCCCACACATAACATCCTGTAACAGAATATGGGATCGTTCTCACCAATTCCTTTTTTCTCCATTCTTCCTTACAATGCGGTGAGCTGTCAAATTGAGAAAAAGTGCCTAAAAAATAACCTTTAATAAAAACCTTGCACTGTGTATGTTTACCAGTTCTTACCCCCAGTTCCATAAATATTTCACTTCAGGGACATCTAGAGCGGCAGATATCTGCACAGTCACTGATTTACTAGAGCCAGGAGTCACAAAGCTAATACCATACACAGTCTATGGCTAATACCTACTGACATGCTCATAACTTCAGGAAGTAACTGGATATTATCTGAAATGTTTTTACCTGTCATCTAAAGAAAGAAGTCAGTGAAAAAGCAGTGCACAGAGCGAAGCCTGTGGAAATATGTATTGTTTTCTGTCTAACTTCCCCTTGCTCATGTTTTTTGTGTTTGGTGACTTTCCAAATATGTAATCATTTTTCTCTTGACTGGAAATGGAGCCGGTGAAGTGGAGCCCTGTGGAGTTACATCTGCCACGCCACACTGCACCAAACACAACCTTAAACGGCTCGTACATTACAGTGAAATGCTTCCCTTTTAACTCTAATTTATGAAACACATGCAGCTCAAAACCAGTAGGCTGTACACATCACTGACCTTCATTTTATTGTATAACTAGTCATGTTGAATACATTTGATAGAATGGCACTTAGACCAGTAAGACAAGTGTTTTTAATATTGAGTCAGTGTAGCCTCAAAGCTGTGGCAATCCATATTTTGTATTAACAATGGATTGAGCTACTCTGTGCACATGAATGGGGTTGCTTGTAGAGAAAAACCCATAAAGAATTATCACCGTTTCTGTGGTTAGACTCTTTTAGCTCATTCGTCTGGTTTTACAGCTTGTAATATTAGTTTTTTTGGGTTCACTTTGAGCACAAGGCCCTAAACCCTGGCTGTACACAGCTTGCCAAGCACCAAACAAACAACAGACAGACAACAACTGAACATGGTGTAGCAAAGTTGGAAGTTGGATATTTCTCTCAGGAGTTGGTTGAAACAAAAAAAGTAAAGGGAATAGAAGAGTGCCAGAAAAAGGACTCCATGTGATTATATGTAAAGTTTACAACTTGTTTCAATGCAACCTAGTGGCCAAAAACCAAGCAATGCTGGATTAAAGGAATATGGAAAGGCTGACATGGGATCGTCTCTCGTCAAATGTACACGCTCATTTCTTTCTCTGCTGCGAACCAGAGACACTGAGACTTGTTTAAAGCAGTAAACCACTTACTGTAATTTAAAGATCATTTGTGAACAACAGAACAGCTGGAGAACCCCTCTGTTTTACAAGGAACTCTAGAAGTGTCTACAAACATGCCGTGAAGGACCAGACAGACTTATAATGACACTTGAACGATCATTAACCGCATTGTCAACACGGCGAATGTCTCACAGCGCCGGCGCTACCAGCTGCTCTGTTGCCGCTGCGGTTTGTATTGGCTGTAGCGGCGAGTTTATTCTGCTCTTTATTGGAAGTGACAGAGCGCCTCACCTCTCCTTTAGAGCTGTATATTTGACCTTTAGCCTTGTTACACATTTATCAGTGACACAACTATCTGGAGTCAGACAGAAGCCACTTCCGTCTCGCTCTCACTTAACATACTCTAAGTGTGTGTGAGATGTCAGTGCACAGCTTTGGGTCAGACTGCCTCTGTGTCTTATCTGGAGTCGCTGTGTGATAAAGCCTGTTGGGCTGCTCAGACTTGCAGACATCGCACTGGCTTAGCGATAAGGATGTAGATATTCTGTACCTTGGTATTGTCAACAAACAGCAGGAAGAGACGAAGAGTAGAACAGAAATCAAACTGTTGTAATTTGTCGAGTTCAATAAGAAAATGGCGATTGTTGTTGTATTTAAGTCACCGCCTGAAAGTGTGTCACAATCACTCATTTAAGAAATTTGTTTTCCACCTGCTTTCCACACAGTGATGCATTTAGCGCTTTGTCGTCATCGTGTAGCCTGGGCCTTTGATCCGATTCCTTACAAAAGAAAATCCAAGTTTGTTTCCAATAAAGTACATCTCTTTTTTTATTATCATAGACATGTATTGTTTCCTGTGTATTAGCCAACGCTCAAATCTCTACTGAAATCTGCCCGTCATTGTACTACTTCTTGTTTGGTCGTTGAATCCCACCTCAGTGAATCCTGCCTGGCGCAAATCGGTTTATAATTTAGCCCGCTACAACAAACAGGGCCGATCCCAATCTTCCCACTTACGGACTTTGAGGCGTGTTATCTGAAAACCCATGAGGGCTCAGGGCTGTGCGACTGTCAATGTTTGAGCTATTTCTGAACTCTTCTCGTAAGTCCTCAGTTCAGCACACATTGCCTTGGGAAATTCCCAAACACACATTACTTTTGACATTTAAACAACTTGAATAAAGGTAAACAAAGAAGATGGCATGTTGTTGTTCAAACTGGCATGAAAACATGTTCTCAGAAACACTAGATTTACATCAGGATTTAAGAGTGCATTAATAAACACATGAAAAAGCAAAGGCTATATGAGACACCTGGTTTATTCTGCAACTTCTGCAATTGTTTACTACATGTTTTGTCGTCAAGGTAGAGTGAGATGTTGCTGCAAAGTGCTGTGCCGTTGCTATTTATATCATTTGAGCCCTTTGGCCTTTCACAGTCAGCCACTTTTTAGGTGACGTTGAGACCAGGAGGGTTCAGGGCTTAGGGGGGAGATCAGACCTGATGATTCTTTGCAATAGCAACACTACACAACTAAATAGCCGCAGGTCTGCCCATCCTGTTATGTTGATTTGAATGGGGACATTTATTCTACTCTATTCTATTTCTATGACTAAAACCAACAAGAAACTGAACTGAAACAAGTCGGAAATGCTATCCTTTTTTTGTTTAAATTCAGGCAACGGGACTACAGCTAGTGGCACTTGCCAACCTTTAGACCTCGGAAATCTGGAGCATTTCAAAATGCAAAATTGGGGGGGGGAGGGGGAGGGGGGTGCTAGTGCATCGCCGGAGCTGTTAGATTAACATTAACATGCTTATTGTAGTTGTAAGTGCACTGACTTGCAGCCTGTAGCACCGTCCTTGATGGAGCATATGTGTTGGGCTGGACCTGTATTTTACAAGAAAGGAGTGAGCAGTTGTCGATTCTTGTTCTGTTTTCTGTGAATATCTGCCTCACCCTCTCAGATTTTGAGTTGCGCGCGCTACTAAAGAGACGTGTTACCATGGAAACCAAACAATGGTGTAGCTGTATTAAAGTCCGAGTGGAAACAGTCGTGTGTAAATCTGATTTTGTCAGAAATCGGGAGAAATGCGGGAGAAATATGACCCCGGGAGGAAACCGGGAGAGGGCAATGAAATCCGGAGTCTCCCGCGAAAATCGGGAGGGTTGACAACAAGCCTCACTTTAACTAGCTAGTGCACATTCCACTGAAGATAATAATGATAAAAAAACCTTCTGTCATGAACTACTACTTCTCCAGAATGCACATCAACTAAATCCACAGCATGTACACGCAGCGGCATGTGCGGATGAACAGGCAGCTGTTGGATCAGATGGCAAATTGTCCCTGAACACATCGTTATGCACTTACCAGACATGATTGCTAACCCAGGGGCTACTTTCTGTGTTTACCTTTTTTATTTCATTTATACAACATTAGCTTTATTTTGAAAGCAATTGAAAGTTTGCCTTGATATGCAATGGGCTAGGTTTTTTCTTTTAATGTGTGGAAAAGTCTTAAGAACAGCTTTTATGATATTCACAACTTAGAGAACTGTTCATACCTGTGTATCAAATCAAATCCAAGTTTATTTATAAAGCACATTTAAAAGCGATTTTTGGTCGGGCCAAAGTGCTGTACATGTAATAAATACTACAACCACATAAAAACACATTACTACAATCACAATAAAAGACAATAAATTACAACAGATATATAAAAAACACAGGGAAAAGTCAGGAGTATCTATGAGTATCCCTTTATACTCGTAGATCTAAAGCACGTGCCCCTTGATGCTGATAATTGAGTTTTAAGTAGACATTTCTTCTTAGGATTAGTTGGTGAATGAGGCTCATTGATTCACCACAGTCAAGTTGTAAGATGTACAACTCCAGAAGAAAATGTGCTCGGGGGCTGAGTGTCACAGTAAAAACATTCAGATTTTGTTCTCTTGTTGTTATAATGGTGTTTTTTTGCTTATAGGAGAAATACATAATAACATCAGCCTTATCTATTTTCAAAGTAAGAAAACCAAAATGTCTTCTGTGGAGTAAATGTGCTGAGTTAGACGCTCCNGAAAACCAGTCAGTATCTGGTGTGACCACCATTT